GCGGTAGGCGCGAGCGACGGCTTTGGCCAATTGATCGACAAAACTCCAACTTTTACCGACCAATCTTACTCAACTGAACATGATACTATAATTAGAAGCTAAAGGAAATAGGATTGCTCATAACTTGCTGGACAAAATTGAACTTAACTCGGTATAGAACGAACATGCCCTTAACCGAGTTCGACATGGATTTCTTTACGGATTTCTGAAAATCCTCCGAACAAATACCCTTAAAATAAACTTACTAACATGATTATACAAGAAAGGAATATTACCTCTCAAATCTCTCGACAGAAAACGAAAGCTGGGTCGATGATTGGTTCGTGTGCGCCCAAGAATGGCTGTGCGTCTATCTTGCCGAGCGATTGTGATGGAAAATTTGGAGGAAATTGCTTGGTTTAAGTTGCTGAATATAAAGGTTTGCTTAAGGAAAATATGTTGCTGAACTTGCTATAGGAAAAATGGGGAAAAATTTTAAATCCTCCCAAGCTTATATAGATGGCCGAATTATGAGGGTGATGACAAGGGCTTGGCATGGCCTTCTTCTCCTTTCAACATTTGCTAGAATCTCATGCTCTAATCAAATGACTAAGCACCTTCTAAGATTGACAAGTAGCTTAATTTGATTGGTTGAAAATCATCTCCTTAGGCATAAGGAAAGCTCACGGCCTTGGTTAGATATTTGGAAAAATTTTCATTATTCTCACGGCATTTAGGGCTTAAAACAATTAATTGTGATTAATTAACATTAATCACTTGGTTTATGTTTATTTATTCAATTAAACATAATACTTAATTACCAAAATTATTCCGAACGCAAACGGTACGTCGAAATTAAATTTCGGTAATCCCGACTGAAAATAATTAATTCCGAAAATAATAACCGATAACATTATTATATCGGAATTAAAACATAACTTATACCGATAAAATCTCGGGATATTACAGGCCCGATGACGCATTAGTGGGAGCATTCATCGGCGACCTAAAGTTTGATCTAGCTGCTGAGGTGCGCTTAGAGCGTCCCGAGACAATGCATGCTGCCATGGAGGTTGCTCGACGCCGAGAAGATCATCTTGTGGCAATTCGAAGGGGACGGGCAGATGCATGGTACCCCGAAACACGACGAGCACAACTAGATGCGAGCAATATGGTTCCGAGCGGTCGACCACCCGATAGCACTCGATTGACCAATAGCACGCGACCACCGGTATCAGAAGTCAAGCACTTGACGCTCGATGAGATAAAGCGCCGATGGGAGAAAGGGCTATGTTTTAAATGCGAAGAAAGAT